AATATTTACACATTGGCAATTTTGCCTAGTTTGCACTTTATTTTTGGCCAATTCCATTGTTCCAGTCCACCAAACTCACAGCTATTTTGCTAGTATTCCTTCTATTCTACTGACCGAGTACAAGAAACCACTCATTTATCTATTTTAACTATCCAATAAAGTGATCAGAATCAGTAATTTGGCCAATTTCATACAAAATTCAACAATTGCCAACCTGAAAATAGGGTCCAGAATAAACAATGCAGACATTCCTGGCACTAAATATTTCCTCTGTTCTTTAGTCATGTCTCCAGGCCCCTCTTATATTACACTTGCTTTACATTTTGAATTTTTATTCACACAGAAAATAGAAGATTTACTGTTACGCAGACTATTGCATTATTGTAATAATTGTATAAATAATGTCAGCGCATTCCTAAATGTATATTAGACTGGCCAGAAGGAATATCGGCAAAAATCAAACATTTCCGCTATTTTCAGTCCTGAAACTAATCAAAATCATCTCTATTTCTGTAATATATCTTCCATTTTATCAAACAAGACCAAGAAACTGAGAATACAAACATAAAAACCATATAAAAATACACAGCAAAGTCACTGTTTTAAACCAAAAACACTATTGCAGGTTTTTTCTCATTCACTGCGTGCTGCAGGATTTTTTTTATATGGTGCACACTTACTGCATACACACATTCTCTCACATCTAGGCCCAAATTTACTGCTCACAGCTTATCAAGTGAGCCGAGTTCATCCCGTCATACTACAAGACCAACACTGGCTTCAAAGCCATGATACATTGGGACTGACAATGAAAGGGTTAAGAGGAATTAATTTGAGGGAGGGAAAGGATCATCAACTTCTAAGATTAACCTGATGAGGAGAGATACAGGAGCAGAGGATATAAACATGAGTTGCTGCATGATGAATGACTTGTAGCACTCCTTTCCCTCAAATGAATGCATCCTGAATGTATTATTATTATAATCAAAACTAAGCAGTAAGCTCTTGCAAATTCTTCCGCCCTGAAATGTGTCATTCTTCAGGCTTCAAAAAACAATGTTACAATACCAATTGCCCCGCATACCACCTAAAAGGGACCAGGAGGCACACACCCTGTAAAACAAATCATAGTAGTTATGGTAGTTACAACAATGCCACTCCAAGTGATTTTTTAGTGGTAGGAAACAAAGAAAATGGAAAGAGATAACCAAAATAGTCCACCACTTTGGAGCCTTGTTGGACTGGAGGCACAGCCAGTGGCCCCTCTAAACTCTCAACTACTGATGCCAACAATAAAATATCCCCAACAAACATGCAACACAACCTCATTTATATTTGCTAATACACAGGGCCTGAAGCCATCCACCAACAAAATACCTTTCATTAGTGGACTTCTAGGGGAATCAAATGCAATGTTTGCAGCCTTCAGAGAGACCCATGCAAAAGATTACTTTGACAGTGAAATATGGATTCCTGGATACAACCTTTTCAGTTGCAACAGAAAGAACAGGCAACAAGGGGGAATTTGGCCTGTATGTCAAAGAGCTGCTCATCTGCATGGAGGTACTGAACACCACAAATGATGTAGTTAAAGCTATAACAAAAACCGAGAACCAAAACTTTGTCACTGTACTTGTATATAAGCCACCAGATGCAACTTCCCAACAGTTCAAGGAACAGCTATCAAAACTTGACTCCTGTCTGGAAAACCTTCCAGCCCCATCTCCAAACATCTTGCTGCTTGGCGACTTCAATCTAAGACATACAAAATGGAAGACTACAGCAAATAATGTTGTATCAGAAACAATCCCTGGAGGCAGCTCAGATGAAAAGTCACACACACGAGCTGCTGATGACAACAAAGAAATAAGCGAGATACTGAAATCTCAATATGACTGTTTAGCGAGCCACTAATCAGTCTAAAGATAGACAATCCAAACAATTTTTTCATGAGTGAGCCTCAAAACCCTGCCAATGTAAGCCAGATTTCTGACATAACCCTAACTCCATTAGACTTTGAGAAAGCCATCAATGACATGCCCATGCACTCAGCCCCAGGCCTGGACTTGTGGAAGTGTTCATTAAGAACTGCAAGAAACCCCTCTCATGGGCCCTAAGTATGCTATGGAGAAGGAGCATAGACACAGGCAAGATTCCAGCCATTGAAAACAATGGACATAGCCCCACTCCATAGAGGGGGCAACAAAGCAATAGCTAAGAACTAGAAACCAATAGCTTCAATGTCCCACATCATAAAAATCTTTGAAAGAGTTCTAAGAAGCAGGATTGCAAACCACATGGACTCCCAAAAATTGCACAATCCAGGACAACATGGTTTCAGAGCAGGTCACTCTTCCTCTCGCAACTACTGAACCACTATGGTATGGTCTTAGATGCACTGGAAAACAAACAGAATGCAGATGTAGTATACACAGAGTTTGTAAAAGCCTTTGACAAGTGCAATCATGGTGTAATAGCACAGAAAATGCATGCTAAAGGGATAACTGCCAAAGTAGGCAGATGGATCTTCAACTTTCTAACCAATCAAACACAAAGAGTAGTGGTAAACAGAGTTAAATTGGAAGCTGCCATAGTGAAGAGCTCTGTTCCACAAGGCACAGTACTCACCCCTATCCTGTTCCTCATTCTCACATCAGACAGAGATGTAAACCATAGCACCAAATCCTTTGCAGAAGACACTAGGATCTGCATGTGAGTGTCATCCATTGAGGATACAGCAAATCTCCAAGAAGATATAAACCAAGTTTTCCAGTGGGCAATGGAGAACAATATGATGTTCAATGAAGACAGATTCCAACTACTCCATCATGGAAAACTGGAGGAAATAATAGCAAGGACTGAGTATACTACAAACTCTAATCATACAATAGAGCAGAAAAGCAATGTGAAGGACCTGGGAGTGGTAATGTCCCAAGATCTCACCTTCAAGGATCACAAAAATGCCACTATCACATCTGTGAGGATAATGAGAACATTCAAGACAAGATGCCAAGCCAACGATGATCCTTTTTAAATCACTTATTCTCTCTGGGCTGGTATACTGCTGTACATTAACATCCCCATTCAAGGCAGGTGAAATTGCAGATCTAGAGAATGTACAGAGAACCTTTACTGCACGTACAGGTTCCAACTTCCTGAAGTACTTGACCTGTACTCACTGGAGCGCAGGCGAGAGAGATACAGTGGAACCTCGGTTAATGACCAGCTCCCCACTCGAACAAAGCTCAGCACTTGACCAAACAACTACAACCTGCCAGAACTTCACTGTCAACTATTTTGTGTTTCTTCACATTTTTGGGTGTTTTTTTGTATTTGTATAAATGTCATCATTCCTTTCGTTTTTCTTTTTGGGCCACCCTGCCTCGGTGGGATACGACCAGTTTGTTAAAAAAAAAAAAAAAAGTCACTATGGGGCCTACGACGATTAGTGATAACAGCCATCCAAACAGAAAATTGGTTGGGAAGAACTTGTTCGATACTCAAACGGAGCGGCACTTGAACAGCCTTCTGGAATGAATTAAGGCTGCATACTGAGGTTCCACTGTATATCATAATCTACACCTAAAAGATTCTGGAGGGACTGGTACCTAATCTGCACACAGAAATCACTCCCTACAAAAGCAAAAGGCTTGGCATATGATGCAACATACCCCCAATGAAAAGCAGGGGTACCACTTGTACACTAAGAGAAACCACAATAAGTGTCCGGGGTCCAAGACCATTCAACAGCCTCCCACCAGCCATAAGGGAAATTACCAATAGACTCCTAGTTGTCTTGAAGAGGAAGATGGACAGATACCTAAACCCAGTGCCAGATCAGCCAGGCTGTGGCTCGTATGTTGGACTACGTGGGGCCAGCAGTAACAACCTAGTTGATCAGGCCCTGATCCACCAGGCAGTCTAGTCATAGACCAGGCCATGACTAAGAATGCCCTCCAGGTAGACTCCAGGTAAGGGTCATAGAGATCCTGGATGTAGACAACTCTGTACAAGTGAGCAGAGCCCACTAGTGGAAGTAGGTCATACTCAGCAGTTAAAAAATGTATATAATGGATTTTAAATATTACAGCAAGGATGTCATGTTTAAGAACAATGTGTGATGTGACTAATTCAGAGAATTCAGAGCATGGAAATTAAAAGGGAATGTGGGGTCACCAAGGCTATAATTTCAAGGGCAGAGGGGGACTGAAGTGGTATGGGGCTGTAGAGGATGGAGAGGGTGTATAACTCTAGGGGTAAGGGTTGTCCCAGGGAATGGTTGGAAAGGGGTAAAAGAGGTTTTGAGCTTTAGGGGCTTCAGCATTCAGAAGGCTTGAGTGTGTTAGATAGGATTTAATGGAGACAAGTAGGTTTTCGTGGATGTGCTGAAGTATGAACAAGGTAACGTCTATAGATTCAATGGAAACCAGATAACTGGACTTATAATCCTGAAGGCTGAAAGGTCTGTGCCTGCACTCTGAAGGAGGGGTGGAAATGATGGAAGTTAGAGGGCAATCTGCATGTGATGTCAGCACCTCTGGAAAGAGTGACTGAATGAACTTTGCTAATACACAATCCCAACCCCCTCCTTCAATGTGGTTCCTGCACTCTGATGGTCAACAAGCTGTTCATTAGCAGCTGGCAGGCCCACATAGCTGTCAGAATGGTTGGTCGATCTGGCATTTTGCAGTAGTGGTAGTTTCCTCGTGAAGACTTCTACACTTGTTTTGGCAATGTTTCTGGTGTCTGCTGGTAGCAGGTTGAATAGTTATGAACTACAAATGCTGACAGTCAGGGCTGTATCCAGGATTGTGGTAAGGGATTCACATTGTAAGTTTTGCTGCCCCCTTCATCTTCGAGAAAAACCTTAAATAATCACTGTCAGACATTTTGAGGCCATATGCAATGGATATTAGGATATTTGAAAAGATAATCGAAGGATAATTTAAAGTAAACATTCAGTGTCAAAAATACTTGAAAAGGAAAGAGGACAAGGCATGTTCAACATATAAATCGTGTTTCATTTTTATTACACATCATATGTAACTTATGATGTGCCACCCAGGCACTTGGTATGTGAAGGGGGGGCTACAGCTTTATGGCCTGGCATGATCCAATATTATACAAGTATAAGTCTTGTTTAACCACTTGTGGCTAACCTCAAAGATTAGACGGGTAAGAGAAGGGAATGATGGCAGATCAAAGATACTTCAGGAGAACAGCTTGGGTTTTGTGGGGAAAGGGGTTTCTGGGTAACTAGGAAATCCCCTGAATATGCTCCTGGACAGTGTTTTTTGTGTTGTTGGTACCCTACATTTCACTAGGTTTATCTTAAACTACTTTCCATCTCTCTCACTCCAGTACATAATCATGTACAAATTCTAAGCCCTCAAATATCTTCCATGTATCAGGTATCTTCTGTGATCCATCAAGCACATTCCAAATAATAATAGTTCCCAATAATTTAAATGCTCTATGTGGGCAGTAAATACACTGCACCTTTTCCAGCTCTGATCTCTCTCCTGCCTTGGAGACAACACTGAACAATGCTCCAAATGAGAGCACAACAGAGTTGAACAGTATCACCAGTGTGATTATTTCTCATTTTGAAGGTTCTCATTATCCATCCTTTCATTTTCCTGACCTTCCTGACAGTTTCTTATTGTTTTCTAAATGATAGGTCATCTGACATACCAGCCTTTCAGTGCTCCTTTCATTCTGAAGTGATCCAGTGCTTTGTTTCTTCATTATTTCCATATCCAAGTACAGTGGACCCCCGCTTAACGATCACCTCCAAATGCGACCAATTATGTAAGTGTATTTATGTAAGTGCGTTTGTACGTGTATGTTTGGGGGTCTGAAATGGACTAATCTACTTCACAATATTCCTTATGGGAAAAAATTCGGTCAGTACTGGCACCTGAACATACTACTGGAATGAAAAAAGTTCGTTAACCGGGGGTCCACTGTAGTTGGAATTTGCCACCACTTGATATATGCTCTAAACATCAACACCGATCTCCTCCATACACATAACAATCAATGTATAACAGGTAATTTATTTTCAGATGCCATTGCTGAGTTTGGCTAAGCTAACCTAAATTTACCTATCCAAGTTAATCTAGATAAACCTAAAATCAATGTACGTATAATTAGATCAATATCATATATTGTACTGCAGACAAACAAGGCTTGAAAACTAATGTACAGTACAAGGATGGGCTGCTCTAGATTGTAAAAGTCAAATCAGTCAGCAAAGCTGAATTGTAAACTAATGTAGAGACTTAAACTTACAATTCCATAAGTGACTTAGATCAAGACCAAATTATTCCATTTCTTCCAAGTTGCTACATTTGCAATATCTGTATTGACTTTAGAATGCAGAGCATTTTTTTTTACAGCACAGTATTATATGTATATTTATGGAATAGCTTTCAATATAATCACTAATATATAAGCAACAGCAAGTGAAGGTTATTTATTTCACCTTCCACTGGGAATACTGGGAGACTGCAGTAGTGTAATAGGTCATAGTTCCAAATGCCTCTGAAGTATCCTCATTTCAAGGTCTTCATGAAGTTTTTCCACTTTTCGCTGTTGCTTTGCTAGCCGTTCCTGCAGAACTCGCTGACCCTCTGTTGACTGAAACTTTTCTATGTCGTCACCAGCACGTTCTTGCAGTACATTCATCTGGCCTGTCAGGTGCCGTACCTTCAATAAACGGTGTTCATAGTGTTTCAGCTCTGTCTGTAAAATAAATTTTAAAATACTGAAATGTCATACAAATAAACAGTAGTTAATGTGGAAGGAGTGGCTATGTGGATATGAAAAAGTAGAGGAGACATTAAGGAATGAAGAAAAATACAAAGGACAAAATGGCCAATAAAATGCAAGAAAAGGGGCAAGAGGATGTGGAAAAGATTTGTCCAAGGAATATAAAGTGAGGGGATTAAGATGTGAAGAAACAAAGAAATGTGAACAGTAAGGACAGTGAAATTTGCCTAGCATGTGGACCAAGCAGTCATTCAAGAACTTTAATACACTGGTATAGAAACATCTTGAAAATTATTTGAAAACTGAAAAAAATACAAATTCTCCCAGCAGTATATGTCAAATTAAACAACCATGGGTTAGCCAAGAGTGTACTATCCTCAACTGATAGTGCAACCACATCAAAGTATGACTCCTGTTGAAACAGAAGGGCCCAATGCTAACAATCTTTACTTTGTACATATTTTAAGTACATAGTCTGCAAACCCAGTGAGCTTGACATTTCCTGCAAACAATTCTTATGTTCTTCATGATGCCTACTGTATTATATCAAGTACCTAATATAGCAGACCTCCTTAGCACCTGCCATCTCATCTAAAGTTCAAATGCAACTAGGTTATTTGTTTAGAAATGCCACAGGTCAACCATTACTGAGCTTTTGGGGGAAATAAGACACAGAAACACTGCCAATGCTTCAACTGCATCCTAAGAATTTGACTACTGTATTGTAAAATTTCTCAGATTCAGAAATCAATGTGCCACAAAGATGGCACCCACCACTATTATATTCAAAGGAAAGCGCTAAACCTATAAGAGTCATCCAAAGCCTGAGAAATTGGAGGTTAGCCAAGTTAGATCTAAGGAAGGGGAGAGTAGCACAAATTCCTCAGGGCAAAAGGCCATGCACTTCAACAATAAAACTTGAAAATGCTATGACAGCTTTGCATAAAAGTTTCTAGCAATGATTACTGCATTACTCATACCATGCTCATATTCTGAACTATCTGTTAAAACCTTTGTACTGGTACATGCAACACTGATGTGGGCTCAGATCTATCCCAATTATAATCCAAGACCAGCCCCAAATAGAGAACTAGCCGACCAATAACTATGACCAGGAAATAACCAACATACATAATATGATCTTATTAAGGAAGCCACTAATACTTGCTGTGACCAATCATCAACCAGGATTAAATAGCATTACAAACACACAAGAGAAATGAGTCTTTCAGCATGAATGTATGAGGAATGCACTCACTTATTTCCTCACAACGTTAGTTTTAGAAACTCCCAGAAGAGACAAAATAGCCCTAATTCTCCCATAAAGGTATTTGCATTTATGGGATAACCTAATAAAGAGGAGTCTAGGAAAGTTCTTTAGAAAAATTTGGCATTAGCTAAGCTTCTCCACAGAATCCATCCCAAACCTTGAGCACACGCACGCGCGCGCACACACGCACACACGCGCACGCACACACGCACGCACGCACACACACACACACACACACACACACACACACACACACACACACACACAGGAGCTCAGACTCGACCCCGCAACCTCAACTAGGTGAGTACACACACACACACACACACACAATGAGGAAATTACCTATAAAAGAACCAGTCTCATGAGATCCACATAGAATTTCTATCCAAGGCAAACAAACATTAACCAACATTATCACTCACAAAATGGATATATAAAAATACAATACACTCAATATCTGAATAAAATCTGTGATGCTATTATTATTATATGTAGAGGAAAGCACCTAACCTGTAGGAGTTGTATAGCACCAGGGGAAATGGGAGGCAATAAGAGTCGAGCCAAGGAAGCAGAAAACAGGTCCAATTCCATGTACAGAGTCCCTTACCAGCATCAAGGAACCTCTCTTGAAAGAAAAACCAGCTATACATTTGACTAAGCTAACTGTAGACCACCCACTTATGACCATCACCCTCCACACAAGAGAAGTCATGAAAAGAACCAAAAATAATGCCCCGTACATTTTTGGAATAAAAGTTTAAATCAAATTCTTACCAATAAACCACCTGCCATCTTTGAGAGTGAGAAGGAAAGACACTGTGGGAGACTGGAAGGTCCTGAACTGTGGACCAAAAAGAATCTGCAAGTCTTATTTATTTATTGCCCTTAACAGTAGAATGGTCAGGCAGCCAGCAATAAAAAATCTCACTCACCCCACCCCAACACCCACCCTGCCTACTAGAAGAACCAGGGATAGATAGGGACAGGGTTTTTGAGAGGTGAGAAATGGGAATCTGAGGACACTGCTGGAGGTTAAAGTCCCAGTTATGCCACAGGGATGTTAGGAAATATTTCTTCAATCTCAGAGTGACTGGGAAGTGAAATGATCTTCGTGAGCAAAAGGCGAAGGTAGGCTGCATACATAGTTTTAAAAGCAGGTATGACAGCAACTATGAAACTATGAGGGAGTGACTCTAAGAGTGGCAAGTTTAGAGGCAGGGCCAGGATCTGAATTGATCCCTGAATCCACAAATAGGCGAGTGCACACACCCAAAAACTCACTCTTCATGCTGAAGCCTATAACACTTAAAACTTTTCACTCCCTCCCTCTAACCCCAAACCCTCTTTTTCATCCTATTTTACTCTATCCTTTCTAAATGGGCAAACCACCTTAACCCTTTCAGGGTCCAGAGGCCAAATTTCAAAGTGCACACCAGGGTCCAAGAATTTTCAAAAAATAATTTTGTTATTTTTTCTTATGAAATGGTAGAGAATCTTTTTCTGAAGGTAATAAAACAAAAAGTATGAATTTTGATGGAAAATTTATGAAATTACACTTGTGAATTTTTATGTGTCAGCGATATTTACGCATCGAAAATTTTGCCGACTTTGGCTCCCATTTTAGGCCAATTATCTTATTCCAGTTGACCAAATTCTTAGCTTTTCACTAGTATTACTTCTATTCTATCAATTGAGCACAAGAAATTGCCAATTCAACTGTTTCAACTACAAAATAAAGTGAGTGGAAATTGGTAATTTGGCCAATTTAGTGCAAAGTTCAAAATATTCCAATTTCAAAATAGGGTCCAGAATTAACAATGCAGGCATTCCTGGCACTAAACTAACATTTCCTCTATTCATCAGTTATGTTTTCAAGCTTTACAAATGAATTCCATTTTGATTTTTAATTCACATAATGAATTTTTATTCAAACCAAAAAATAGAAGATTTACTGTTATGCAATATTGTAATAATTGTACAAATAATATCAGCACATTTGTGAACGTATATTAGACCCACCAGCTGGCATGTATTAGACGTGTGAGGTCATTTGTTTACTCTTGAACATCGGCAAAAATCTAACATTTCCGCTACTCTGAGCTCAGTTTCAAGCCATTTTCAGTATCAAAATCATCTCTATTTCTGTAATATATCTTCCATTCTATCAAACGAGACCAAGAAATCGCAAATACAACTATAAAAAACATACGAAAAAACACTGCAAAGTTGCTGTTTTAATCGAAAATTACGGTCTCGTTTTTTTCTCATTATGCACTGTGTGCTGCTGGATTTGTTTTATGTGGTGCACACATATCACATAGATGTATTCTCTCATATCTAGGCCCAAATTTACTGCTCACAGGTAATCAGAGTGAGCTGAGCTCATGGCGTAGATCTATGGTTTGGACCCTCAACATAAAGCCGTAGATCTACGGCATGGACCCTGGAAGGGTTAATAACCATACTACAGGCAGGGATTGAACTCATGGCAAGCGAGTCATAAAATTCCAGGCCAGCGCATAAGCCACTGGGCCAGGTGGCTACAATAACATTCATCCAACTAGGTATATTTATACACTTCACCACAGAGAGGTTAGCACAGGCCCCACTGTGGCCACAAATGCAAGTTTTCACAGATGAATCTCCCCCCAGTGTGGCCATGACAAACTAGCTCTAGTCCCCTCAAGGCTAATCTCTCTATGGTGTATAAATATACCTAGTTGGATGAATCTTACTGTAGCCAGCTGGCCCAGTGACTTACATGGTGGTCTGGAGTTTTATGACTCGCTCGCCACAAGTTCAAACCCTGCCTGTGGTATGTTTGTTTGCAATTGCGTCATTACAATTTCGTGAGTCACCTTAATAATCCTCCTCTGCCCTCTGAATTATACCTTTCATAACTGTATACTGTCTTCCGAGTTCAGTGCTCCTAATTCTCTGTACAGTATTTACACAACACATTGATCTCAAACATGATATCTCCACTGTCTCCAGAATCCTCCTTGCTGCAAGGTTTAAAAAACCATGCCTCACACTCATAAAAGTGATGGTACTGTACTTTGATACTGTAAAAGAAAGGTTATCTTACTGTAATAGATATATGTCAGAGAAACTGTGTGAGTTTTCCTATTTCTGGTCTATGTGGGTTGCAGCTTTCAACATTATCTGTTAAAAATCAATCACCATTTTTTTACCTGTATTTTGGTGTTGCTCTGACTGCTCTACTACAATTTCTTCTCCTTTACTCATAAGCACATATATAAAGTCTACTTTACCTTCAACCATTTAAAGTTTGGTTAAAAAATTATTAAAAAACTGATATTCAAAAATTTATACAACTAAAGGTCTTATGACTACTTACATGTAAAGACTCCAGTTCCTCTTGAGTGAAATCACCACGAATAGCCAGTTTCCAGAGTCCAGCAACTTTAGGCTCAACGAACTCTTTACTGTCTGGTCCTGTTGATGCTACTTTGTGTAAACGGTCATAGCCTTCCTTCAGTTCCCTATGCTTCTCTCTGAAGAATGAAATTTAACCATGAGAGTGACCAGTAACTGATTTATGCAAACATTACAGAACTAATACTAAACTGCACCGGACAATTAATATTATTACTTTATTTTTAATTTTCTAATGTCACTGAATTAAAAGTCCATTATCACTAAACTGATGTAAAAATCTTAGTAAATGCTGCAGGTATTACAATAATTTTAGTTTTCCATATTTCTCAATGTTCATCGTATTTTGTGTAATGTGTTACTGCTGTACCATATCTGAGTTCTTTATTTAATATTTTTTTTTTTTACCCTATCATATACCCTCCCATCAAACTGCCAGATTTTTCACTATTTTAAAATCCTACACAACTCCTGAAGAATTTATATGTTCAGTTGCTATATTCACATTTGTAATAATTTTTATGCTCACCTGCATCTCAGATGTTCACATTCATACACATCTATACAATCGCCCTCCTGCACCTCCAGCCTCTCATTTACCTCAAACCTCCGGCCTCTCATTCCCCTCAAACCTCCGGGCTCTCATTCCTCTCAAACCTCCGGCCTCTCATTTCCCTCGAATCTCTGGACTCTCATTCCCCCTCAAACATCCAGCCTCTCATTTCCCCTCGAACCTCTGGCCTCTCATTCCCCCTTGAACATCCAGCCTCTCATTTCCCTCAAACCTCCAGCCTCTCATTCCCCTCAAACCTCCGGCCCCTCATTCCCCTTGAACCTCTGGGCTCTCAATCCCCTCGAACCTCCGGCCTCACATTCCCCTCAAACCTCTGGCCTCTCATTCCCCCATAACCTCTGGCCTCTCATTTCCCTCGAACCTTTGGGACCTCTCATTTCCCTCGAACCTCTGACCTCTCATTCCCTCAAACCCCCGGCCCTCATTCCTTGAACCTCTGGCTCTCATCCCTTGACTCACTCACATTCCCTCAAACCTCTGGCCTCTCATTCCCCTCGAACCTCCGGCCTCACATTCCCCTCAAACCTCTGGCCTCTCATTCCCCCTCGAACCTCTGGCCTCTCATTTCCCTCGAACCTCTGGCCTCTCATTTCCCTCAAACCTCTGGCCTCTCATTTCCCTCGAACCTCTGGCCTCTCATTTCCCTCGAACCTCTGGCCTCTCATTCCCCCTCGAACATCCGGCCTCTCATTCTCCTCAAACCTCTGGCCTTTCATTCTCCTCAAACCTCTGGCCTCTCATTCCCCTCAAACCTCTGGCCTCTCATTCTCCCCCTTGTACCATTGACCTGTTTCATCTGAGAATTTTTAACTAAACATTACTAGGGAAAATTAGGTTTCGGATTAATAAGGCAAAATGACACTAAGTGCCAATAACTTTCTACTGCTCACCTATCATCTATGCAATAAACAATACATTTAATATTTTTATGTGACACTGAACTTTTTTTTTTTTTAGCTTATCACTGAATCCTGATAATTTCACAATGACATGAAAATGATAAAAACCACTATGTAAAACAAAAGGTTGAAGAATCCTTATCTTTATGATACAATACATGATCTTTTCAGCTGGAATTGGTTCAAAAAGTTGGATTACAAATGAAGAGGCCATGTGATATATATTACCTATGTTAAAAAGGTTTTTGTATTGCTACATATAAAGCTGCTTTTGTTTTGCTCTGTAATTTACAGAACATTTTTCGTAATTAGAAACTAAAAATCCTATACTATATTTCTCTTCAAAACCTAATGAGTGTTCAAGCAGACTCCTTAGAAACCACTGCCATAAGAAAGGAGGCCTACTGGCCCATACTACGCAGGTCCTTTAACCCAAACCCAACAATGAAAATATTTGCCGAACCCACCTTCAATTTTACCCAAGGAATAAGCTTTGATAACCCTATTGATTAACAAGAAGCTGATGCAGATGGTCCATCACCAGGGCCCTATTAAGGAGGGTACCAAAGGAGCCAAGGCAGCTGATTCATCACTAGGGCCCTATTGTAGTAGCAGAGATTGTGATACAGAGTATTTTGACTGTAGGTCAGTCATTTAGTGCTCATACTAATAAAAAAGTAATAACATACACATAATAAAAACAAAAATAAAATTAAACAATAAAAGTTAAAAACATAAATAAATTTCTCAACACAATGGCCTGGTTATATCATCTGCATCAAGTATGTTTATGTCTAATTTCCTATGTGCCAATATTTTAACTTTTAAATATTCAACTCATACTTATATACAGTACCTGTACTTTAAAGTTTACAGACTACTACACTTCCCAAAGCAATGGCTTCAGTCAGCATTACATCCCAAATATACACTTAAGTGTATATATGGGATGAAACTAAGCCCATTTTTTTGGGGGTGGGGATGGGGGGAGATGTCACTTTATTCATGGGCAATATTTCTGAAGAGTCAAAATCTATAATCTTCATATTGAAAAAACCAGCACTGCAGCAGGCCTACTGGCTATGTCTTACTCATATCCACGCATTCCACTCATCAACTGTTGCCAAACCAATATTTTACTTCCTATATTGCCTATATTGGTGGGGATATAGTTTTGGAGTGGTTGATACTTTTGTTCAATAAAGGTATGAAAGAGGGTAAGGTACCTAGAGACTGGGAAAGAACATGCACAGTTCCTTTATATAGAGGGAAGAGGAACAAAAAGAGTAAAAAATTATAGGGAAATAAACCTACTGAGTATACCAAGTAGTGTATGGTAGGGTTATTATTGAAAGAATTAGGGATAAAAGAGAAAGAAGGATCACAGATGAACAAAGAGGCTTTAGAATGGGTAGGGGATGTGTAGATCAAGTGTTTACATTGAAGCATACAAGTAAACATTTAGTTAAAGGCAGAGAAGCTTGCATTGCCTTTATGGATTCAGAAAAGGCATTTGATATTGTGGATAGGGGAACATTTGTGGCAGATATTGCAAGTGTATGGAATAGGTAGTAAGTTACTAAATGCTGTAAAGAGTTTTTATGAGGACAGTGAGGCTCAGGTTAGGGTGTGTAGGAGATAGGGAGATTACTTTCCATTAAAAATAGACCTTAGACAGGAATGTGTGATGTCACCATGATTATTTAACATAGTTATAGATGGGGTTGTAAAAGAAGTAAATGCTAGGCTGTTGGGAAGAGGGGTGGTATTAAATTACGTGGAATCAAATACAAAATGGGAGTTGACACACTTCCTTTTTGCTGATGATACTGTGCTTTTGGGAGATTCTGAAGAGAAGTTGCAAGGGTTAGCAAACAAATCTGGGAGGGTGTGTAAAGGAAGAAAGTTGAAAGTGAACACAGATGAAGGTATCAAACGAGTTGGGTAAGGAAAAACTGGATATCACATTGGAGGGAGAGGGTATGGAAGAAGTGAATGTGCTCAGATATCTGGGAGTGGACATGTCAGCAGATGGGATGAGGTAAACCATAGAACCGATGATGAGGAAAAAGGTGGGTGGTGCATTGAGGTATGTGTGGAGACAAAGAACATTATCCTTGGAAGCATAGAAGGGAATGCATGTTGGTACCATTACTGGTACCAACACTCTTACATGGGTGTGAAGCATGGGTGGTGAATGTTGCAACAAGAAGAAAGCCAGAGGCAGTGATGTCGTGTCTAAGGGAAATTTGTAGTGTAAATATTATGCAGAAAATTCATAGTGTGGAAATTAGGAGGCATGGAGGTACTAAAAGTATTATTCAGAATGCTGAGTAGGGGTTGTTGAGGTGTTATTGTCATTTAGAGAGGCTGAAGCAAAACAGGATGACTTGGAGGGTGTATAAATCTGCAGTGGAGGGAAGGTGGTGTTGAGGTCATCCTAGGAAAGGATGGAGGAAGGCAGTAAAGGTGGTTTTGTGTTCAAGGGGCTTGAACATACAGGAGGCATGTGTGAGGCATGTTAGAAAGGAGTGAGTGAAGACAAACAACTTTTGGGACTTAAGCTGTCGGAGTGTGAGCAGGATAATATTTTGTGAAGGGATTCAGGGAAACAGGTTAGCCAGACTTGAGTCCTGGAGGTGGGAAGTACAGTGCCTGCACTTTAAAGGAGGAGTTTTGGATATTTGCCGTTTAGAATGACATCTAAACTGTCCTATCTATGCACCTCTGGCTACACAGTGATAACACGAATGATGGTGAAAGCGTTTCTTTTCCAGGTCACCCTGCCTCAGTAGGAGACGGCCAGTGTGTTAAAACAAATAAGAACATAAACCCAAATGAATAAAAAAAGCACTGCAGTAGGTCTAGTGACCCATGTTAGGCAGGTCCAATTCACACCCAACCATTCCCACTTAAGTAACTGTTTAACACACCTTAAAACTACCTAAAGTATTTGCTACAATGATGGTACTCTTCTATTCCTCTATACCTTTTTTTTTTTTCATGCAGCAGCAAGATGTGCTGCACACACGATCTCAATACAGTGACTAACACAACACTAGCTCTGTTAGAGATTAGGTTTCCACTATTTTACAGTACTATTTTCTTGTATATTTGAGTGTTCGACTTAGCGAGAGAAAATACTAAACTGGCAGACTACCTTTTTCTTCTTTGCACAGTGCAACAAAATACAAACAACTAGCACTGTATTTTATCTTTTGAATGATGTTCTATTGTACCTCAAACACAAGGGTAGACTTATACAAGAGATATGAAAATTAATTTGGGGGGTATTAAGTCGGAGGTTGACTTGTACACAATGGTACACAAGTATGTATATACAGAAGCCACACATTTTCCAAGCTTTACCTTAGAGCATTTGTAGGGTGATGTGCTGATTTTGCTGAAGACTCCAAGTCTTGTAAAGTATCAAAGCGCTTTATGTCATTTTCAAGGTTGTCTGCAAGAAATATGAAAATACTACAACTTAAGATAAATTTATTAGTCAATGGATGTAAAAAGAAGGAGTGTATCACAGCATAGGTATACTGACATTTTTTCTATATGTATGATGCCTTCATGATTTTTTGCCTGCTGTAAAAGGAGGTTGGAACAGCGAAATGTCTTATCAGAGCTCAGAGTGGTATGCAAATACAGTGGACTCCTGACTTACGATGGCCTCAACCTACGATAAAACCGACTTACGATGCTTGTTGGCATAAAAATTTGACCCCGATCTACGTTGAAAAACTCGACTTGCATCATTCGTCCCGAATGCGGCCATCTGGTCCATCTGGCCTGAGTGCCTCAGCTGAGCTAGACATTGTTTACAAGCCAGGGCAGACAGTTGCACGCATACATTCAATAAATTTTGTATTATTCCAGTGTTTTTAGTGCTTGTAACTGCTAAATAAGCCACCATGGGCCCAAAGAAAGCTTCTAGTGCCAACCCTGTGGTAAAAAGGGTGAGAAATACTATCGTACCACGGTCAGCTGCTGCTGCACCACGGCCAGCTGTTGCTGTACAACAGTCAGGTGCTGCTGTAGCACCTTCAGCTGCTGCTGTAGCACCTTCAGCTGCTGCTGTAGCACCTTCAGCTGCTGCTGTACCACAGTCAGCTGCTGCTGTAGCACCTTCAGCTGCTGCTGTACCACAGTCAGCTGCTGCTGTACCACAGTCAGCTGCTGCTGTACCACAGTCAGCTGCTGCTGTACCCAGTCAGCTGCTGCTGTACCACAGTCAGCTGCTGCTGTACCACAGTCAGCTGCTGCTGTACCACAGTCAGCTGCTGCTGTACCACAGTCAGCTGCTGCTGTACCACAGTCAGCTGCTGCTGTACCACAGTCAGCTGCTGCTGTACCACAGTCAGCTGCTGCTGTACCACAGTCAGCTGCTGCTGTACCACAGTCAGCTGCTGCTGTACCACAGTCAGCTGCTGCTGTACCACAGTCAGCTGCTGCTGTACCACAGTCAGCTGCTGCTGTACCACAGTCAGCTGCTGCTGTACCACAGTCAGCTGCTGCTGTACCACAGTCAGCTGCTGCTGTACCACAGTCAGCTGCTGCTGTACCACAGTCAGCTGCTGCTGTACCACAGTCAGCTGCTGCTGTACCACAGTCAGCTGCTGCTGTACCACAGTCAGCTGCTGCTGTACCACAGTCAGCTGCTGCTGTACCACAGTCAGCTGCTGCTGTACCACAGTCAGCTGCTGCTGTACCACAGTCAGCTGCTGCTGTACCACAGTCAGCTGCTGCTGTACCACAGTCAGCTGCTGCTGTACCACAGTCAGCTGCTGCTGTACCACAGTCAGCTGCTGCTGTACCACAGTCAGCTGCTGCTGTACCACAGTCAGCTGCTGCTGTACCACAGTCAGCTGCTGCTGTACCACAGTCAGCTGCTGCTGTACCACAGTCAGCTGCTGCTGTACCACAGTCAGCTGCTGCTGTACCACAGTCAGCTGCTGCTGTACCACAGTCAGCTGCTGCTGTACCACAGTCAGCTGCTGCTGTACCACAGTCAGCTGCTGCTGTACCACAGTCAGCTGCTGCTGTACCACAGTCAGCTGCTGCTGTACCACAGTCAGCTGCTGCTGTACCACAGTCAGCTGCTGCTGTACCACAGTCAGCTGCTGCTGTAGCACTGTCAGCTGCTGCTGCTGCTGCTGCTGTACCACAGTCAGCTGCTGCTGCAGCACCTTCAGCTGCTGCTGTAGCACCTTCAGCTGCTGCTGTAGCACCTTCAGCTGCTGCTGTAGCACCGTCAGCTGCTGCTGTAGCACCGTCAGCTGCTGCTGTACCATGGTTATCTGCTGCTGTAGCACCATCAGCTGCTGCTGTACCACAGTCAGCTATCATGTGGGAGTTCGACACGTGGATTAGGTAAGAAATACTCACGTAGGCTGGTTGTACGTATAATTACAGAGAATGTGCGTAACGCCCTTGCAGCCATGGCCTGCCTCCTTGCTCACACTCCTAACACTGACTGACTGGCTGGCCGCCCACGTACCCATAGAGGGTCTTTGAATAATGCCAGGTCAGCGCAATATGAGTTCAGATAGTGACTCAGGCAGAGACAGTTGGTCGTTGAGTCAACGGTACACTGGTTACTGGTAACTGGTTACTACTACTGAGACAGCTGCTGCTATACCACAGTCAGCTGCTGCTGTACCACAGTCAGCTGCTGCTGTACCACGGCCAGCTGCTGCTGTACCATGGCCAGCTGCTGCTGCCCCACAGTCAGCTGCTGCTGTAGCACCGTCAGCTGCTGCTGCTGCTGTACCACGGTCAGCTTCTGCTGCTGCTGCACCACGGTCAGCTGCTGCTGCACCACAGTCAGCTGCTGCTGTAGCACCGTCAGCTGCTGCTGCTGCTGCACCACGGTCAGCTGTACTTCTCGAAGATGTGGAGAGACTGTTGTTGATGTGACTTATCGAAAATACCAAGAAACAATTAACCCCAGAGGGTTAGCCACCCAGGATAACCCAAGAAAGTCAATGTGTCATCGAGGACTGTCTAACTTATTTCCATTGGGGTCCTTAATCTTATCCCCCAGGATGCAACCCACACCAGTCAACTAACACCCAGGTTAACAGAAAAAATGCCTGGAACTAGTGTTCATATTGGTGAATTTAGGGCCAGCAAAGGTTGGTTTGAGAGATTTAAGAATCGTAGTGGCATACAGTGTGATAAGGCCTGTTCCAGAAGAAAATGCCAAACAGGACCTGCATTGTTGTTAGGTAAGACACATATGCAACAGTTAGACAACTTTATTCCGAAATGTTTCGCCTACACAGTAGGCTTCTTCAGTCGAATACAGAAAGTAGGCAGGAACAGTAGAGATGTGAAGACGATGTAATCAGTCCATCACCCTTGAAGTCGTAGAATTTGAGGTTGTCAGTCCCTCAGCCTGGAGAAGTTCAGTTCCATAGTCAGGAACTATCTGAAGATCAAGCGACAGTGCGGAGACTTAAATACTGTCGGAAGGAGAGGTGCAGAGTAGTAGTAGTATTGAGAATGTAGCCACTGAGAGGTCATGTCCTCCTCAGATCCAACACTTCTCACTTGAAAAACTTGTCCAAGGTGTTTTCTGTACCAAGATGCCATGTGTTGCAGTGTCTGACAAGTTGAACATCAAAATGGTATACAATACCGACCTGCATTACTCAGGAGGAAAAGGCACTCCCAGGACACAGTGACTCATCACTACATCTTCAACAGAGGAAAGTGTCATTTATTCTTCATTTAGTACACTAGTACAGTGGTCCCTCGTTTTTCGCAATTAATCCGTTCCTGGAGCCGTTACTATAAACGAAATTTACGATTTACGAATCAATTTTCCCCATAAGAAATAACGTAAATACAATTAATCCGTTCCTGACACCCAGAAGTATTAAAACAAAATTTTTTTTACATGAAATATACATGTAGTACATAAACAATATAATGGGAAATGATGAATGAAACATTAACAGCATAACACTTACCTTTATTGGAGATTCTTCATAGTGTATTGGAGACTGGAGGAGGAGGAGAGAGTGGATTGTTTATAGTTTGGAAGGGGAATCCCTTTCGATCAACACCTCAGGTACCATTTGCTTTTCTGGGGTTGCTTCTCTTCTCTGTTTCTTAATGCCACTAGGACCACCTTGAGAGTCACTGGAGTCCTGTCTCGCAAAATAACTGTGGAGAGAGCTCTGTTTCTGACGTCTCTTTAACACTTCCCTAAAATGGCCCAAGACTTTGTCACTGTACATGTTGCCAACCTGGCTTGCAACAACCTTGTTAGGGTGATGTTTCTCCATAAAGCTTTCCATCTTACCCCACATAGTAAAAATCTCTTTAATTTCTGAAGAAGGCACCTTCTTCCATCTCTCTTCCTCCTCCTCTGCAGCAAGATTCTGAGCTGTGATGTGTTGCTCTTCCTGCTGAAGCTCTTGCAGCTCCTCAGTGGTGAGCTCTTCATTGTGGTCTTCCACCAATTCTTCCACATCCTCCAAACTCACATCCAACCCCATGGAACTCCCCAGTGCCACAATTGATTTTCCAACAGACATAGGCTCATTAGGGTCAGTCCCAAATCCTTCAAAATCCCTCTTGTCGACACAATCTGGCCACAATTTTCTCCAGGCAGAGTTTCAAAGTCTGGTAGTCACTCCCTCCCAAGCCATACCTATAAGGGTTATGCAATGGAGGATGCTGAAGTGTTCTCTCCAAAATTCCCTTAGGGTCGAGTGAGTGTCTGTGGTCACAGTCAAGCACCTGTGAAACATTGCTTTTGTGTCGTTTTTTTTAAAGTTTGCAATAACCTGCTGGTCCATGGGTTGGAGGAGAGGAGTGGTATTCGTGGGCAAGAATTTTACTGTGATGAACCCAAACTCTTCGAAAATTAGGTCATCCTTAGTTTGGAGGATGAGCAGGTGCATTGTCCATTACTAGCAGGCACTTGAGATCCAATTTCTTTTCCAGGAGATACTCCTTCACACTAAGGCCAAACACTTCATTGAACCACTCGACGAAAATTTCCCTCATGACCCATGCCTTACTATTAGATTTCCAAAACACACAATTTACTCTTCATAACATTGTTTTTCCTGAACACTCTGGGATTTTCAGAATGGTACACTAGTAATGGCTTCACTTTGAAATCCCCACTAGCATTAGCACAGAACATTAGCGTCAGCCTGTCTTTCATAGGCTTGTGTCCTGGCATTGCCTTTTCCGGCCAGCCTTTGCTGGCCTTAACCCTTTCACTGTTCACGACGTATAAATACGTCTTACAAGCCAATGTTTCTGACGTATTTATACGCACAAATTCTAGCGGCTTCAAATCAAGCGGGAAAGGCCTGGTAGGCCTACATGAGAGAGAATGGGTCTCAGTGGTCGGTGTGCACCCTGTGAAAAAAATCTGGGACCCAGCGGTGCATTGTGGGAACGCCATCTTGTTAGTCCATTTTTACCATGCCTCTCGGTAAGAAGTTCCTCACTCCTCGGCGGATTGGAGGTCTTTTGTTCCCAAGTGATAGCTCTAACAGCGATGAAAATGTCAGTGACAGTGAATTCCAGGGTTTTGAAGCGAGTGTTACCGAAAAAAGTGCCCAGGATAACATAATTAGTGATGAAAACCCAGATGACCCACAACCTTCCACCTCTGGTACTGGGCTGGCTTGGTCACGTTCACGTTCGCCTGTACCAGGACGAAAGAGGAAACTATTTGGTCGTGTACAACACCCAGATGATAGCAGTGAATGTGATAGTGATAGTGATTTCAAGGCCATTGAAAGCAGTTCTAGTGACAGTGAGGGTGAATATTCCCCAGTGAAGCGGCAGTATGTACGACGTAGCATGCGGTCTGGTAGTGTTTCATATGTTGTTCCAAGGGGAAGGAGAAACTCTGGGAGCACATCCCGTGGCCCTACACCACGACCTTATAGTGAAGATGATGATATTGTAACGATGGGTATGAATTATGTGAGTGAGGGAGCAGGCAGTGGTGGTGATAGTGAGGGTTACACGGCCCATGTGGCACCATCAGCGGGCCACGCTACTACCCACGCTGCTGACTCTGCACAACAACCAGCCTCACCCGACCCCACACTCCCACAACCTGCACTCCCACAACCTGCACAACCACAACCTGCACAACCACAACCACGGTACAATATCCAGACCCCACCAGCAGACCACATCTGGGATTGGCAGGACGGTGACGAGTTTGTTCCCAGTCCCCATGACTTTGATGAAACACAAAGTGAAATAAAGCCATCATGTCCACTTGGGAACAATGCCAGTGAACTGGACTGCTTTGAGTTATTCTTCGATGAACCCTGATGGACATCATTGTCAGGGAAACAAACACATACTGTGATTACACCATGGCAAATACAATTCTCTCACCAAAATCACGGCTACACAAGTGGAAGGAGACAACTGTGGCAGAGATGTACCTGTTTTTTGCCACAATAATGCTTATGCCACATGTGTATAAGCACACTGTCACCACATACTGGGCAACAGAACGCCTGATTTCAACTCCAGGTTTTAGTGACATTATAGGTGTCAATCGTTTCCTGATACTGTTACGTATGTTACACTTTTCAGACAAAACCAGGCCTGACAGAAGCGACAGGTTATATAAGATAAGAAATGTGTTTATGTACCTGAAACAAAAGTGCTGCATGTATTTTTATCCCTTCAGGAAGCTCTCATTCAAGCAATATATACCAAGCAAGAGGAAACACTTTGGTATAAAGCTATTTGTACTGTGTGATTGCAGAAGTGGTCTAGTTTTGGATATCATTATGTACACTGGCAGTAATACTTTGAGAGATACCATGAAGTTATTGGGTATCTCTAGTGATGTGGTTCGAGCAATGATGGAACCATATCTTGGTAAGGGGCATATGTTATTTACTGATAACTGGTACACAAGCCCCTTACTCAGTGATTTCTTGCGAGTGAACTTGACAGACGTGTGTGGCACAGTGCGTCGTAATCGTAAACATATGCCAAGGTTCGACGCTGGCACTCGCAGAGGTGAGGTGCAAGCCTTTGCTGCCAATGGCATCATGGCATTTCGGTGGCATGACAAACGTGATGTCACATTATTGACATCAGTTCACCAAAACGAAATGGTACACAGTGGCAGGCACAACAGAGAGACCAATGAACCCATTCTAAAGCCTGCAGCTGTCATGGACTACAACCTCAATATGCACTTAGTGGACAAATGTGACATGCAGATTGGGTTTGCAGACTGTGTACGCAAGAGTTATAAGTGGTATATAAAACTTTTTTTCCATCTTGTTGATATCTCTATGCTGAATGCTTATAACATATACAAGTTGAAGACCAACAAAACACCAAAATATGGTGAATTTTGCTTGTCAGTAATCAGACAAATAATTGCAAAGTACCAAGGAGCAACACCTGCAATAGACCAGTGCCCACGAAATTACCAACACACGTCATCTCGTTTCAGGCCTGGTGATCACTACCCCATGCAACTGCCTCCTACTACTGCCAAGAAAAATGCTCAGAAGAGGTGTTATGTATGTACACATACCACAAAACACCCACAAACACGCAGAGACACTTGTTTTATGTGTGAGGAGTGTCAAGTGCCCCTCTGCATATACCCATGTTTCAAAGAGTTCCACAAGCTGCAGAAGTTCTAGGAACGTGTTTAGTGACTGTACATATGTATATATATTATGGAACAATAGTAATAAACATTGTTTTGTATTGTTTGTTTGTGTAAGCAAAGTGTATACACAAACTAATAGTGATAAAGTTTGTTCTGTTACTGTGTTGTAAACAATGAGTGTATATTTGAACAATGCACCTTACATTGGTCTCACAGGCCACATAAGTTAAATGGAACAGAAAAATATTGAAAAATGCAAGAAACCTTTGAATTAGAGTAAATAAAAGAATACCGGGTGGGCGGCAGTCGCCGCTGTTGCCGTACGCACGTCACTTTCTGCAAACTTTGCGGCTCTATATCTCGGTAAGTACTGATGGCAAAAAATTTTTTTTTAGGCTTAAAACACTCAGAAAAATATTCCTAACATTTTCATAAGAAAAAATAATTTTTTTTTTCGAATATTTGGTGACATAGAATGACAGTTTCAGAGAGGGGCCTGAAACAGTCAAAGGGTTAAATTCACTCACATCACCACTATTTGCAGGCAATTTCTTTACGAAATCTTCATGCAACTGCCTAGCCTTTTCACAAATAATCGAAGTCATAAGAGTATCTCCTGCTAATTGTTTCTCATTTATCCACACCAATAATAACTTCTCAACCTCTTCCAGTACTGGTGATCTCATTTTTGTCAGCATAGTTACTCCCTTTGCAACAACAGCGTCCTTTATTTCCTTTTTCTTGGCCACTATGGAACATAAGGTTGTGTAGGGTTTCTTATACATCCTGGACAGTTCGGCCACACCTGATACCTGAAGTCCTTATGGAGGGGGATTCCCATTCCAAACAATAAGCTCTCCTCTCTCCCCCCTCCTTGCCTTCTTCCATACGCCAACAAGAGTCTTCAATAAAAGTATGTAATAGTAATTTAAATGTTCATTTATCCCATTTCATTAATGCTTTATATTTATTTCTCATTGTTTTCTGTATGTAAAACTATAGTTATTCTTTAAAAAAATTATTTTTTTGTGAATATTTTTGGGTGTCTGGAACAGATTAATTGTATTTACATTATTTCTTATAGGAAATATTACTTCGGTTTTCGTACATTTCGAATTTAGACCGACCTTCTGGAACAGATTATGTGCAAAATCCAGGGTTCCACTGTATATGCTTGTACATGTATGTGTACTGTGACCTAAGTGTAAGTAGAAGTAGCAAGACATACCTGCAACCTTGCATGTTTATGAGACAGAAAAAGAGACCAGCAATCCTACCATCATGCAAAACAATTACAGGCTTATGTTTCACACTCATTTGGTAGGACAGTAGTACCTCCCTGGGTGGTTGCTGTCTACCAACCTACTACCTATATGCATTTATAAGGAAAAAACAAAAAGGGGGGGTGATCCGCTTTACAGCAGTAGCCTGGAACCTAATCTGCCGTATTAGTGGGGTCCGACTGTTTATGACATATGTTAGGCCAATTGAGTATATGTACTTAGCATGGAGCCCATAACTGATAAAGCATATTAAGAAACTTGAAAATGTCCACATATTTGAAATAAATGATGTTATAGGAAATTAATCTGACAACCTTGGTGGAAAAGACAAGGGTACACATGATAACACATGAAATCTTAAGAGGAACTCATAGGGCAGATAAAAGACTGTTTGAATTTAGATTAAAAGGATCAACTGGACAGAGGTGGAAGCTGCAGATATAGATGTAAGAAAGTATCTCCATGGTCTCAGGGTGATTGAGAAGTGGAATGATTTTGATGGGGTTGTGGAGGCAAGTTCAATATTCATATTAAAGAGAAGATATGATATGGTCCAAGAGGCCAGAAATGAATGCCGATCAAAGTGGTGTAGGAGGGAGGGCCAGGAGCAGTCTCTCAATCCCGCAAACACAGCTTGGTGAGTACATACTACCACACTAACTTACAATAACCAAACCAGTAAAAATCCCATTATAAAAACCACAACGGAAAAAACACAAGATTGAGCAAAATAGTAAAAATGTGCTCCAGTCAGAGGCATACCACAAACTACACAGTTGAGGCTACACAGTTGAAAACAGTTGAGGCTGTGCCCAAGCCTCAACTGACAGATTCTTCTCAAAGTGGCAATTCCTGTTGAAGGAGTCAACACATGAGTATCTGTATCACTTGCTTCTCATGTGTAGGGCCCACTGGGTTTGTCACTTTCCACAGATATATCTATTTATGCAGCCATGAAATAACAAGGCAGAAATTTATAGAGTAAACTTGATATAGCATAATAGTCCAAGATAAAAACCATCTACAGTTCCTTATCCAGAGTGTGGGTTAGTTGTAAATATAGACCTTTCTTTTCTAAAGGGCACACTTTTGAGTATAGCTAAGATGAAGCTAGAGTTTACTATACTTTACAAGAGGCAGACTAGCCCTCAAATAATTGTAAATCTTATTTGTTTAAAAGTGATTAGACATTGCAATGCACAAAATACTGGTACTGTTAAAGATTTATTTTGTTAAACATACAATAACAATACTTACTTTGCTCACTTTCCATCTTGACAGAAGCACTATTAATCAGAGCATAGTAGTCATCAATTTTGTCCTGATGATGTTGGAACTCCTCTTTAAGAGCTTTCAATTCAGGCTCTGTAAGCAATGAAAATTTATCTGATTGAATATGTCAAACATTTTAATTATTAATCAAGCATAAATTTGATCACTAACATCAGTGAGAATGTTTACTAAGACTATCACTCTCCCTTCCTCATTCTCTGGCAAACCAGAGAAACAAAATAAAATTAATACACAAGTTTTTTATTTAGGTTTTGGGTATATACAAAATTTGTTTACAATGGTCATAACAGCACACACATGCTATGAGAACATAAGTACAGTACATAAATTTAACCTAGGATAAACCACAAAGTCAAACAAAGAACACATGTTTGAGCATCTACATCTCACTACCTTTAAATAAACCTAGTGTGCAACATGAACCCTCTCTACACAACAATGAATAGTATCTATAGCGTAAGAATTTAACCCTTTGTTTCATATGTACAGTGGTACCTTGATATTCAAACTTAATTCATTCCAGGAGGTTGTTCGAATAGCGAGTTATATGAATATTGAATCAATTTTCCCATAAGAAATAATGTAAGCTGGATTCATCTGTTCCAGACCCCAAAAAATTACCAATTATAAAACATTTTAAGTGGAAGTAATGCTTATTTAAGGGTTAAACCTGTATAATAATAATAGCATGCATAAAAATCATACATGAAAACTATAAAAACAATAAATACATGAAAATTTAACTGCACTTTACCTTTGCTGAGGAGTGCTGATGGTTTAAGAGGAAGGTGAAGAGATGTTATTGTTTGGGAAGGGTGTCCATAAAATAGTCAGTTTTTTTTTCTCTCTCTTTTTTGTTTCTGTGCAGTAGCACTTGAAGATGATGGGGATTCACTAGCTGTCCAGTGTTGTCTGCTTTTGACAACTTTTCAAATTTTTTCTAAAATGGTCAATAACATTGACATTGAACAGGTTGATGCTCCTATTCACAACAGTAATGTTAAGATGCCATTTTTTCACTAGGCTCTGTGTTTAAGCCCTTAATTTCTGCAGTGGAAATGTTGCCTTTACTGCTTCCCTCCTCTGAAGAAGACATTTCCTCAACCACTTCTTGCTGCTCCTTGTGCAAGTCTTGAATTCTGCAGTGCCCACTAGCATTACCACATAAGAGTGTTAGCCTGTTTCATTGGCTTGTGTCCTGGTAATGATTTCTCTTAGTGTGTGATGTAGGTTCTCTTAGGCATTCTTTCCCAAGAGAGGCAGTTTTCATCACAATTAAAAACTTGATAAGGAATAAATCCCTTAATGTCTACAAAGGTTTTAAATTCCTTAAACTTTTCAGCTTCATCTCTTTTAGCACTGGCAGTCTCCCTATGCCTTACTTTAAACCCATCAAACCAGCCCCTACTTGCCTTAAATTCATCACTTTCAGCACCGTTTACCGGGGTGTCTTGCCTAAGATCACTATATAACTAGTTTGCTTTTTCACAAATTATTGTTTCAAAAACACTGTCACTGGCCAATAGTTTTTTGTAAATTCACAGTAACAAGTTATTCCATTTCTTCAATTATCTGCGACCTTTTCACAACAAGAATTTTCACTCCTTTTGCCACATCAGCTCATTTTATTGCCTCTATTTTTCAATATGGATGATATGGTGGATTTCACCATTAGGTCCGACACACATGTTCCACTTTCCCACTTCCCAATGAGTTCTTTCTTTCACTTTAATTATTGTTCTCACTGCTTTTTTTTTTTTTTTTTTTTTTTTTTTTTTTTTACACAGGGTTTGACAAGGTTAAGGATCCCTAGCATTATTGACAAGCTATTTACAGGTTAAGGATTCCTAACTTTATTGGCAAGCTAAGAGCTGTTACCTACAACAGCTCATTTGAAAGTATTTTTATTGTTATGAGACATACAAGTAGGGAACAGGATGAAGTTGGAGCCATCTGTGGGCCAGCATTTTCATTTGATCAGCTGAATTTATCTTGTTGACATCATTATGCTGTACGAATGTGTTCCATACTCGAGTCATCCTGGGTATATATGATCTCAGATGGAGTGATGTTCTGGAGAAGGGTACAGCCAGAGTGAAGTTAATGCTTTCTGCCCGTCTTGTGGCATAAAAGCTTGTTTCACTCTGTCTCGAAGTGGATCCAAGTGTGGTACTTTGACAATATTGGCCTTGTACATAACAGTAAGGCCACCCACATCCCTCCTGTGCTGAAGGCTCTGCTGAAATGACAGATCTATCCAGGATGGGTCCAGGCAAGAGATGAGATGTCTTGCTCTGTTCTCCACTCTGTCAAGCAGTCACAGATGAGAGGGGGGGCAGGCAAACCAAGAAAGTGGGGCATACTCAAGGTGTGAGTGTACTTGTGCCTCATACAGAATTTTGCAACCCCTACTGTCAAGCAGATGCGAGATACGGCGAGGTGCTGTAAGCTTCCTGGCTGCCTTGTTTGCTAGATTTACAACATGGTTCTTCATGGTTAGTTTGGAGTGAAATTTCACCCCAAGGATATCAACTTCTTCTCCAGGTGCCAACACCCTCCCATTCATCCTTACTACTGCACCAGCATTACCATCATGGTGCCTAGAGACGATCATCATTTGCGTTTTCTCAGGTGCAAATGTTACTTGCCATCTATTTCTCCAGGCTTGTTTGGATCACTACTCTTTTTGGGGGCCATGATTACAGGTCTCCCTCAACATTCACGTTTTCAACTTTCACGGGCTTCACACATTCGCGAATTCCCAACCGCCAAATTCCGAGCCACCAAATTCCCAGCCGCCAAATCATATTTAAGTTTCCCGCCACCTGCGAGTCCCTACTACCCTCCTCCGACCCCCGCAACTGGCAGCCAGCCCTCCCACCATTCAGTGTGGTGAGTGTTTTGTTTGTTCATTATTTGCTATTAAACTACAGTATAAATAATGTAAACCCATTCATGACTGCATATTGGAATGGCTATTCGGACAGGTATTAGACGGTGACATCATGTGTTTACTCTTGAACACTGCAAAGAATTAAACATTTCTGCTACAGCTAATAATAACAATAGTAATAATAATAATAATAATAATAAATATGATATAATTGAAGAAGGAAATTGTACAAAAATACGAGGGAGTGGTTGACACATCGTCAGTGTGACTTTGTTTATGCTGGAGTGAACATTAGTCTCCCTGCTCCTCCAAACATTTCACAATAATTCATTGTGTTTGGTGCTTGTAGATTGAGTGTGACTGGAGTGGTAGAGGCAGTGATTGAGGCAATGGTATTTAATAACATACATGTTAATAATAATACATGTTATTAATAATAACATGTACTATTATTATTTGTAACATTTTATTTTTATTTTTATTATCACACTGGCCGATTCCCACCAAGGCAGGGTGGCCCGAAAAAGAAAAACTTTCACCATCATTCACTCCATCACTGTCTTGCCAGAAGGGTGCTTTACACTCCAGTTCTTAAACTGCAACATTAACACCCCTCCTTCAGAGTGCAGACATTGTACTTATAACATATATGTTATTAAATACCACTGCCTCAACCACTGAATTATTGTGAAATGTTTGGAAGAGCAGGGAGACTAATGTTCACTCCACCATAAACAAAGTCACACTGAGGATGTGTCAACCACTCCCTCGCATTTTTGTACAATTTCCTTCTTCAATTATATCGTATTTATTATTATTATTATTATTATTATTATTATTATTATTATTATTATTATTGTTATTATTATTATTATTATTACTATTGTTATTATTAGCAATAGCAGAAATGTTCGATTCTTTGCTGTGTTCAAGAGTAAACACATGATGTCACCGTCTAATACCTTTCCTAATACCCATTCCAATATGCAGTCATGAATGGGTTTACATTATTCTGTAGTTTAATAGTAAATAATGAACAAACAAAACACTCACCACACTGAGTGGTGGGAGGGCTGGCTGCCAGTTGCGGGGGTCGGAGGGAGGGTAGTAGGGACTCGCAGTGGTGGAGGCATTGGTGGAGGCAGTGGTATTTAATAACATACATGTTATTAACATACATGTTATTAAATAACATACGTTATTAAAGCATAACATGTATATATTTAGTACAATTTACGACGTTTTTATGTATTTTATGATTATTCATGGTTCAACAAGTTAAGGAAGCAGTATTGTAATATATTTCCCTACAATATATTGGGGCACCAAACATTCACGGTTTTTCAACATTCGCGAGGCTCTTGATCCCCTAACCCTCGCAAATGTTGAGGGAGACCTGTACTTATTTTCAATGAAAATATTTAAAAAATACCACAAAATAACAATGAAATACCAAAAAGTTTCATGGAGCTTGTATGAACGATGCTCAACGAATGAAAGGTGATAAGAGACTGAGCACGTGATGCTTTGTTTTCGCTGGACTTTGTCCAGATGGACCGTTTATTTTAGGTCAAATATCAGGGTAACGTCTGAATACCGAGTCAAATTTTTCTCAAAAAAATTAGGCAAATATCAAGTTCTATGAACATAGGCATGCACAAATACTGAGGTTCCATCGTACTAGAATGCAAATGACACTACATGTATATGCATAATTTTTCTAGGTTTCAAATTTGCCACATGCTGCCATTTTGGACTTAGCTGTGTCTTTTGGGTCAGTAGCTACCTCGTAATGCCAGGAGCAAGGGGCTTGTAACCCTTTTTCCTGTATAAATTACTAAATTTAAAAAGAGAGACTTTCGTTTTTCTTTTTGGGCGACCCTGCCTCGGTGGGATATGGCCGGTTTGTTGAAAGAAATGAAAGCTACCTCATGTCTCCCAAGAAAAAAATCCAGGCCACATGGGTATGTACAGGGCATCATGGGTAATATCACCCACTAAACATAGGCTCACAATGGTAGACTGACACACCAACCTTTCTCGAGAGTGAAATACGAGAAATACCTCTGTCACATTGAGGAATGTGATAAGAGGAGGGTCTTTCAGGTTTTGAAGAGGACGGACAGCAATGGTAATCCAGCCAGGACTGACAGAAGTGCCACTGCAACAAGATATGGCA